TGATTAGCATCAACTGCATTAGCTTGTGCCTTACCTTTCCCCCGTGGACGAATTTTGTTTTGACACTCATCGCCGGTTGCCTCATTATCCGCCTTCTTCCTCTTAAGGAACGCTCAGCTTGCTCTCCCCGGAGTTCAAGTCCTTCCCATGTATTGGGATGGTGCCGTCCCCATTGCTTCTAGCCGTCCAACGCGGAGGTGTTGTGGCAGGTTGGAGGATGAAATTCCTCGTTGATCGGTCCCTGGCAATTCATCGCCCTTGTTCCTGGATCTTTTGACGAAGGTATCGGAACTAACTCTCCGTCCTTCTGCTTCTCATCGAGCAACGATCGATAGAATCTCCGGTGTCTTTCATACGAAGAAGTGCCAGGAACTTGGTCTCCATGTCCCCAGCTGTTTACACTGGCCTGGCTTGGAGCGGCATACCATCGAAGCGGTCTCGCGAAGAGTGCGACGAAGGACCGCACATAGCAGGCTCCATTACCAGAGATCACCCCCAAATGCGGATGTTGAAGTAAAGTCAAATGCTGGGTAGGCTGAACCCATCCATTAAACGGCGTAGTTATTAGATTAAACTTCGCCGGATATGCGGATCGATTCCCATTCTTCTTGGTATGGGCAAGGAATGCCTGTTTCTTCATCTCTTAGAGCGGATTAGTGTTGTTGCATTTGCCTCTCGAGTTCTTGATCTTTCAGGTTTTCGCCGGTTTCTTCGCCAGGCTATTCTCATTACACCCCCTGCTTCTTGAGGAGGAGGATCATTGGGTTACGAGATTTGTATCCTCATCTTTCACATTAATCGGGTTACGATGAATTCTGCTGCCTTGTTGCGTTCGCCAATTCTTGGATCTGTTGGTCATGCATTTCTCTCATCTGCTGCCCATGGCCATCTCCATTCAATTGAAACTTTCTTTCTGTTGAGCCAAAGCGTCTTCCAAGCATCTTGGCCCATCTGCTCCGCATTATCTCAGGGCCTCGCGGTTGTCCCTCGCTAGCATCTGTCATTATCTGATGCCACGCCGGACGGCATCAGTTCTTCATCTTCTGAAGGAGCGTCTTGTCCGAATCCTACCATAAGTTGCCTCCTCTATGGTCCCGGACTGCAGACGGCGTTCTAGGTCGGGAAGCTTTCAGAATCGATTCGAATCTTCTCGTGCCGATGTCCCTTTGTCGTCATGTGGTGGCTGACCTCGGAAATTCTCCGTCTTTAATGCACCCTTCTTCTTCGTTGGAAGCGCGCTAGGCCTTGGTTTTGGCTTCCGCATTGAGTCTTTCAAAACTTGGAAACTCTTCGGGGACCACCTTAATTCAATTCGCGCATCGACTAATACCGCCGATAATGAGTTTGGAACACGCGACATTGAATTCCCGTTCTCGGGACTCCTCTCCTGGTTCTATTCGTACCGCCAGCACGATAGTACAACTCGTCATTTGACAGCAGAGTAACCTATCGTTCGCGGGAGCCTTTCAGGTACAACACAATGCACTATCAGATGATAATGTTTTCATCCTGAGGTTGATTGCCTTCGTTGGGCTTTCAAAGGTTACCCCCCAAAACCTTGCCTTTTTTTAGGCCAGTGAATTTCCGGCGTGATCTGGACGTTCATGCGCAATTGGTTGCGCGCAGCTGCCTTGAGGATTCTTTGTCATGCTGAGTGATGGCCGACCCCCAGTTATGTTGAGTCGTCTGGCTCTTCATCGGGCCCAATACGCTCCGGTAATGGAGCTTTGCCTCTCTCTTCAGAATTGCGACCGAGGCCGCTCATAATTATTTCTTCTTGCGGGATGACTCTGCAATTGATCTCCCGGAGAGTTATTGGAGTGACGGCGACTTTGGTTGACTCGCTGGAGTTGTGACCTTCCTTATTTTTTGAAAGGACCTGCACTGGTTGCTTCTTTTGACCTGAGTCGCACTTCAGACGTTAGGCTTCCAGATTGTCGTGGTGTGGGTGGCTTCTTCTCCACCTCCTTTTCCAGCTTTCTACGCTTCCTGAGCCTTGAGCCCGTGCTGCGCTGAATTGCGCGGCGTTTGCGGATACGCTCCTCGAGCGTCGAACGCCGTTCCGTTTGACGCGGACCCACTTCTTTCTTTGGCGCGCCTTGAAGAGTCGCATTAATTGGATTGAGGTTGTTGCCTCTTCTGTTTCTTTCAACTCGACTGGTAGCGGAATCGTCCGTAGACTCCATCCGCCTTAGCGAATTCGCGCTGCGAGGCTGTTGACGACGCCTCTGGCTGGGCTCTCTTGAGAGAGTCACAACGCCCTGAACAGTAGAGGCGTTGCGGGAGTTGGGTTGACCTGATTGGAGTCGGTGAATCATTTGACGCAACTTTAACGGCAGTCAGTTGGTAGGAGCTTCGATGGGCTTCCCGAGCAGCTTCAACCAACGAGCTTTTCTCCCGCAGGAGAACTTTCTTACGACTTGCCGGGGCGGAGATAGACCCGGACGAGGACACGTAACGCTCGAACTTGGCTTGTCGAACTCGTACTCGACCTCCCACGACCGGATTGCAATCGCGCGGCTCCGACGCATCGATCTCGTTGGCGAGATCGTCGGCTCCCACTGTTGGTCGCCAGATTGTTCGCGATGGAAAACTGTTGCTTTCTCATTAATGAGATATGTCATCTGGCAATTACAACTTTTTGAGTTACAAAAGCAGCCGGTCTTTTAGGAGATCCGGTTACAATTAAATCAAAGAAAATAAAGAAAAATTACAACTTTCTCTTTATCGAAACGAATCACAAGCTCCTGTTTTGCGTCGCTCGCTTGTGTGGGTTTCTTTGCACGCCGGGGTTAATCCGTGACCACCGCGGCGATCTAGATCCGGTCGGATCTACACGAGTATGCGGGTTCTATTCCACGAGGGATAATGCCGGGAGGCGATTATCCACCAATGCGAATAATCGCTCAGATCTCGAGATCTAAGACCACTTAGATCTGGAGTGTAGCTCGTGCTGAGACATCTCAGATCTCTTCTTTCTCCCTTCTCCGGACCCCATGCCTTTTCTGACGCTGGCATGCGTCCGCGAGGACAGTATCTGATGGTGCAAGTCTTCTGGTTTTCAAGCTCCGGTTTCACTCTTCAATCCGGCAGCGTTTCGGCTCTTGCAAAGTTCCACCTCCGAAAATGAAGCATCTCGTAAGGCCTATTATAGGCTCCAGGGCCAGTTGGCTGGCAAAAAGGGAATTGTCGCACTCTGCCCTGTCGGCCACCTCGGGCCACTGTCGGCCAACCTCGGGGTGGCCACCACTGTGCATAGCACCTTGGGGTGCTGGTCATGGACCGACCACCCAAGGGGGCCTCGCGCCACCGAGCCACCAAAGGTTGGCTCGGCATTTTGGCCGAGCACCCGAGGTCTCGGCGCCGAGCCACCCCAGTGTGGCCGCATTTGCGAGCCACCTTGCGGTGGTTCGCTTGGCCGAGCCACCCGAGGCTGCTCGGCCCGAGCCACCTCAGGGGGCTCGGCCTTGGCCGAGCCACCTTGAGGTGGCTCGGCCACCGAGCCACCTCAAGGTGGCTCGGCTGAGGCCGAGCCACCTTGGGGTGGCTCGGCTTTGGCCGAGCCCCTGCGGGCGGTGTTTTCCGACTTTTTCGAGTCGTTTTCCGTTGTCTTGTTTGTCCGTGTTCCGGTTGATCTGAGACTCTGATTTGATGATCTGATTTGGCAGTAATTTGGATTCCTGATTTGGCAGTAAATCCGCTTCTGAGTTCGAGTCCGAAACTGATCTTGATTCGATCGTGGTTCGTCCGAGTCCGCTCTCGGTTGGATGACTCGTTGATTCCTCAACTCATTAGCTTGATTCTGCACGCGGGTGGATTCATTTCGTCGCTTCCGTGCGATTCATCGATCTCGTCGCCTCGTTGGTTCGTCGGTTTGTGCCGAGCTATGCTAGGGGACCTATAAGCAATTTTATATGCCTACAGTGAGCGACATCGACATTTAGGGTGAGTGTTCGCACTCCCATTTGGGTCTCAGCAAGTGAGGCATTTGGTGTAGTCGGTGTAGGCTCAGTTTGATTTGGTGAGTAGATATCGATATTTGGGTGAGTGTTCGTACTCCCGTTTGGGTCTCGACCTGTTGTGGATGGAGTCCGTTGTTATGAGTCCGTTGCCATGGCGTACTGGACACAACAAGTGGGACATTTGGTTGCTTCGGTGTCGGCTCAGTTTTGAGAAAACTTCACCGAGGTGGAGAATTGTGAACACGTGGGAGGACCCACCACCTGCGTACGTTCGTCCGCGTTCATTTCTGAACGTGTTTGTGAACACGTTAATTGGGGCCCACGTTGCCATCAAACCGTGCGTGAAGAGATCACCAAATGAAGCGGTGTGAAAAGAAGGCCCACCCGATATATTTATATATATAACAACGTGATCTCCTAGGTTTTCCTGTAGCAAGTACGAAAAGGGGAAAAGTGGCGGTGTGCAAAGAGAGTTTGTCCAGTCAAAGGGAAAAGTCGCCGTTTTGGTTTTCGGCTATGGGTTTTGTTCTCTTGACAGAGGAGATTCATTTGTTTTTGCGGCTGCAGTTGAGGAGATTTTGTGTAGTCTCTTTTAGGGCTTTGTGCATCCCTTTGAGAGAGATTTTGTGAGGGATCTGAGAGTTTGTGAGGGTTTAGATTGTGTGATTGTAAACCCCAGTTGTATCTCTCCCTCTATTAGTAGATCTCCCCCCCTCCTTGCCCCGTGGACGTAGGCAGTTTGCCAAACCACATAAAATTTGTGTTCTTGCCGTGATTTGTAATAGCTTGTAGGTTCCCTCGACGCGCAGTCTTAGAGCTGACGAGAGGAAGAGCTGATATCTCACTTTGATGAGATATCTGGCTTTTGGTTCTTGTTTCCTTTGAGAGACGGGAATTCTTATCGATCTAATCTCTCTTGTTGTGTTGCCGAAGTGTTGGTTCTTGTTTCCTTTGAGAGACGGGAATTCTTATCGATCTAATCTCTCTTGTTGTGTTGCCGAAGTGCTGCCGAAATTTCCGCTACGCACAACATCAACAACAATATGTCACTCTGTGTTAGGCTCTCAACAGGGCTATACGTATTACCTCTACTTCTTCGTTGGCTTCTATGTCAACATTTTAGTGGTTGAGAGCTTGATGATGGCTATAGCTAGTGTTGTCCCTAACTTCCTCATGGGTGTTATTGTGGGAGCTGGGATCCAGGTAAACTATCATCCTAACTATCTGAAAATTAATAAGTTATAATCTCATGGATTTAATTGTTGTCTTCGTGAGATTAAGTATGTTGATATTGCACTTTGTCCTCCTTGATTGATAAAGGTAAGATTATGCGAATGTGTGGTATTCATGATGCTGCCAATGACTTAATTTCTGGAACTATTTTTAGATGATTCTTTAGATTATCAATTTTTCGCTTATCTCAGAAGATGTATTCAGAAATATCAAGAAATAATTAGAATAGGAAATATAATTACACTTTGAAAGGTCTAGCACTAGTCTTAAGCCGGTTGCTGGTATCTCCGATTGATCAAATTCATCACTTCTCAATTTTCTTAGCAGCTGAACATGCAACGTCTTAAGTTAATTTAACCAATAGTTCTGTAAAATAATATTCTGTTCATTAATTTTCATACGAAAATAGTAAGACAACTTGAAATTTGTTATTTTTTTGACTAGTGCTTCCCTACTTGTTATATTAATGCATTTATCTGATTACATAACTTGCTTAAACATTACTGCTGCATACAATTCTTATTAACAATTAAATTGTTCGCCACAAAGCAGGCCATCTTCATATTGATTTGTGGCTTCTTCCAGCTTCCTAACGACATCCCCAAAAACTTCGGGAGATACCCGATCACCCACATCAGCTTCTATTATTGGTCATTTCAGGTAAAATAAAATAAGAGTAAATTACAAGAAACCTCCTTCATCACAACCCAGTTTTCCAAAGATATAAATTTTCAGATTCTAAGGACATGTTATAAATTTGGCTAAAATTTTGATGTAATGTGGATGGGGATATCATAGTGAAGTGTGATTGAATCTCTGGGTTATTAATGTGACATGGATTGAAAGTTTGTGGAATTGAATGCTCGGGGTATCAAAGTATTAAAAAAACGTACTTTGGGATATGAAAGTGAATTGAGGGGTAAACTTTGGGGTATCAAAGTAAAAATAAACTAGTTTTATTTGGTATCTTCTATTATCTTCAAAGTAGGTGTGGTGAGTTACAATACTTTATAAATGTGCATGTTTGTGGATGGTTGGGTTTCTTTTTTGCTGAAAACATATTGATGGCTTTTTTGGCTTTTGATTTCTTGAAAAATTGGGTGTAGATGAGGGGGTTTCTTGTTCAACTTAATATACAAATGAATTTCTTCAAATACCAGGTATAGATAAAGCGAGTTTCTTGTAATTTACCCAAAAAAATCAACTGTTCATCAGTCCTCTAATTAAGTAACCGAGCAAACATTCTCGACAATGATATAATGTTTGTTCAATACAACAGGGCCAAAGCAAAAACCACTTTCAGGGCTTAGTAATCAACAACGAGAGCCTTTTCTTTCGAGAATTTCGAAAGATCTCAGGCGATTACCTTCTTCAGAATATACTTCAAATCAACGTGCACAGGTCTAAATGGGTGGATTTGGCCGTTACCTGCAGTATGGTTGCCATATATCGCATTATTTTCTTCGTCATGATCAAGATCAGTGATGACGTAACTCCATGGGTCAGAGGCTACATTGCGAGGAGAAGGCTAGAGAAGGTGAAGAAAAAAAATTGAAGTGGTGCATGGCTGGACTTTATTAATAGATCTTGTTATAGGACTACTCTTAAGGCAATGTAGTAGAGCCAAAATTCTTCAGCTTTAGTCCAAAACTCTTTAGGTTTTATTAATAGATCTTTGAAATAAGTCTGAATATTTCATAATAATCAATGTAATGTTTTTAACTAATTCTTGGTGATTGCTTACTCTATCCAGTGAGAGATGTGGCATGACTGGTTGCTTTCTTCATTCTATTTTTCTTGCATCTGTGCTAAACTTTGTCATAGTCAATTCTCTGCTGATGGCAATCAGATAGGGGGAGGGTCAATGGAATAGCAAGGTTTGATAGCAAGTCACAGAGTGGCAAGATAGTAAATAATTATCAAAAGACCCTCCTGCTACACCAAACATTTGAAGTTGCAGTAATAATTGAGGGCTATTTTTGTACTTTAATATATCTAGCAGGTTGCTATATTTAGATTGAATTCTAGAATCACGTAGCGATGTTATCTTTTTTTAAACCTGGTACTTTAAATTCGTGGTCAAATCTTGTAAACAAGGGTTGCTTGTACATCATGTTAAAAGTCCCTTCCACAAACATCGAAACCTAAATTTTCTCTTGAATTTGCACAACTTATTCTAAGAAAGAATGAACAAGAGAATGAGTGGTGACTAGATATGGAGGTTCAGTGAAGAGACTAAGATAAGATGAAGATATATGTTCTGCAGAAGGAAGTATCAGAAGGACAATGAATCTAGTGGAAGATCACAACACGGCAAGAAGATCACAGTAGAAGAACATATGTTGCACATATTGAAAAAAGGCCAAAATAAAATACATATTACACAAAGATTTTTAGGTAGTTCGCTCCTCAACTAAGCTACATCCATCTCCTAGTGCCTCAACTGGGATTTTCAAGTCCACTATATAACAAGCTCACGCTAAGCTCGAATTACGACCACAAACTTTTACATCAAACCGGGACTTCACCTCTTGCACCACTTACACCCTCAAGGATACAAAGACTCACCTCTCTTCTGAAGAAATTACAGAAACTCAGAAGAATCAGGAAAACCAGGCAGCGGTCGACCGGTCCGATCGACCGGATTCGTGCACAGGTGGTCAGTCGACCGGTGCGGTCGACCGAGGGGTTCTCTGGATTTTTGGGTTTTCGACTGGGAGCTGGTCGGTCGACCGGGCCGGTCGACCGGAATTGCTCGCGGTCGACCGGTCCGGTCGACCGACGCTGTTTTGGGCTGGGCTTTCAGGTTTTCGACCCGATTCGTTTTGTAAGTTCTATATATACCTAAACCTGTTTGTTTAGGGTAGAGGTTGGACGAATTTGAGCAGCCAAAGAGAGAGAATCATTGCATCCAATTGTGAGAGAGCTTTGAGAGATCTAGAGCTTTGTTTTAGGGTTTGGTCTGAGAGATTTGTAACCCTATTTGTATTCTCTTGATTTCTAGTAGAAAGAACTCCCCCCTCCTTGCCCCGTGGACGTAGGCAACTTGCCGAACCACGTAAATTGTGTGTTCTTGCTGTGATTGTGGTTTGCATATTGTTTGTGGTTTAGTTCTAGTTATTGTTCGTGTTGCCCTAGAAAGCTTCCGCCGCGCACAACAATTGGTATCAGAGCTAGATCGACAACATGGGAGATGCAAGCACGTCAGGTTCGTCTCTAACAAAGGCGATACAGAGTCTGAGCATCAATAACACGAAGATTGATGTTCCGAAGTTCGATGGCAAGATCAATTTTGGATTGTGGAGGTGTCAGGTGATGGATGCTTTGGATGCACAGAATTTGGAGGAGACTCTTGAGTTAAAAGAGAAACCCGCTGAGTTGGAGGATAAGGTTTGGAGAAAGATGAACAGTAGAGCTTGTGGTGTTATTAGGTCATGCTTGACGCCGGATCTTATTTATGATGTTATGAACGAGACGTCGGCGAAGAAGATGTGGGAAACACTCAATGAGAAATATCTTACGAAGAGCATTGAGAATCGGCTTCACTTGAAGAAGAGATTTTACCAGTTCAAGATGAAGAGAGGGGTTTCCATCAGGGAGCATGTCAACAATTTCACTAAGCTACTTTCAGATATGGCCAATGTTGATATTATAGTTGAGGATGAAGACAAGGCGATGCTACTTCTGTGTTCGTTGCCCGAAGATGATTATGGTACGTTCGTTCTCACTATGATCAATGGAAGAACTACAGTTAGCTACAAGGAGGTGACCTCAGCTTTGGTGAACTATGAGTTGAGGAAGAGTGATGGTGAACCCTCCGAGAAGGCATCGGGAGATGCATTAGCAGTTCGAGGCCGAGATCCAAACCGTCGTCAGTTTAACTGCTCAAAGTCAAAGAATAGGAGTGCCTATAAGAGTGTTGGTAGAAATCAATGTCGGTATTGTAAAGAAGAAGGACATTGGAAGATTGACTGCCCAAAGTAGAAAGAAAAGGCCGGAAAGAATAAGGGGAAAGCTGCACAAACTTCAGAAGTGAATGTTGCAAAAGCTATTGGTGAGCATTCAGATTCAGATTCTTCAGGCTATTCATGCCCTGCTTTACCATCGGTTTGCTATGCGGATTCCACGGAGTGGATGATGGATTCGGGAGCTACATATCACATCTGCCCTAAGAGGGAGTGGTTTTCTAGCTTTGAGGAGCTGGAAAGAGGGGATGTCGTGCTTATGGGTAATGATCACGTATGCCCTATTGGTGGTATTGGTTCAGTCCGGATCAGGATGCATGATGGTGTAGTGAGGGAATTGAAGGAAGTGAGGTTCGTGCCGCAGTTGACGAAGAACATCATTTCTCTTGGGACTTTGGAGGCAGCAGGATATCGAGTGATCTTAGAGGATGCTACAGTGAAGGTCACGAAGGGTTCTATGGTGGTGATGCGAGGTGTCAGGGAAAACTACCTATACTACTTGAAGGGCAAGACAGTTACAGGGGGTCTGGCAGCTTCTATCACTACAGAGGAGGACACTACCACCTTATGGCACATGAGACTTGGACACACAGGAGATAAGTCCCTACAGTCATTGGCTAAACAGGGGCTATTGAAAGGTGCTAAGACCTGCAAGATGGAGTTGTATGAGCATTGTGTACTTGGGAAGAAGACTAGAGTGAAGTTTGGCACCGCTGTTCATAACACCCTAGGTACATTGGATTATCTTCACACAGACGTTTGGGGTCCTTCCAAGAACACATCTCTTGGTGGGGCCAACTATTTTGTCACTTTCATTGATGATTATTCCAGGAGGAATTGGGTATACCCGATGAAGCATAAACATCAGGTCCTGGATATTTTTGTGGAGTGGAAGAAGAAAGTGGAGCTGCAGACAGGTAGAAAGGTGAAGACTCTACGTTCAGATAACGGTGGAGAGTACAAGAGTGATCCGTTTCTGCAGTTTTGCCGGGATCACGGCATTAGAAGACACTTCACAGTTCGAGAGACACCGCAACAGAACGGGGTGGCTGAGAGATTGAACCGTACCTTGCTGGAGAAGGTGCGGTGTATGATGACGCAGAGTGGATTGCCTAGATCCTTTTGGGCTGAGGCGTTAGTTTATGCGAGCCATCTCGTGAACAGGTTGCCGTGCACTGCGATAGACGGGAAGACTCCTTTGGAGCGTTGGTTTGGTTCGGTGGCTAGTGACTACGAGTCGCTTCGGATATTCGGGTGTCCAGCTTATTATCATGTCATTGATGGTAAATTAAATCCGAGAGCGAGGGAAGCAGTCTTTGTGGGATTTAGAGATGGAGTCAAAGGCTTCAAGTTATGGGATCCACAGGACAAGAAGATAGTTATTAGCAGAGATGTCACATTTGACGAGGCGTACATGATGAGGCCTCGAGCCCCTCAGCAGGTGGAGGGAGACCAGACAGGAGAGATATCGCAGCAGGTGGAGGATGATGTGACTCCATCCACTCCAGAGAACACTGTATCCATTGAGGCTCCTACAGAGGTGACACTGGGAGGAGATGAGGTGATAGTTGGGCAGATAGAAGATACAGTGGATCATGGAACTCAGGAACAGGGTCATGTTCAGAGGTCCATTGCAGCAGATAGACCGAGGACAGAGATTCGTCGGCCAGCTAGGTATAATGATGTCATGGTCGCATATGCATTATCAGTGGAGGTCGTTGATGATATGGTTCCAGCCACATTCAGGGAGGCAGAGTCTAGCCCCGATTCGATCAGGTGGAGGGAAGCTATGGAGGAGGAGATGCGGTCTCTTCAGAAGAACGACACTTGGACACTTGCACATCTACCTAAGGGTAAGAAAGCTATTGGTTGCAAGTGGGTATATGCGAAGAAGGAGGGATCTTCTATTGGGGACATTCGGTTCAAAGCCAGATTAGTTGCCAAGGGATATGCACAGCTTGAGGGCATTGATTACAACGAGGTATTTTCACCCGTTGTGAAGCATTCGTCGATTCGGATTTTATTGGCGTTGGTGGCACAGTTGGATTTGGATTTGGTCCAGATGGATGTGAAGACAGCCTTTCTACACGGTGATTTAGATGAGGAGATCTACATGACACAACCACAGGGTTTCAAAGCTGCAGGAAAGGAAAATTTGGTTTGTAAGCTGAAGAAGTCTCTTTATGGTTTGAAGCAGTCACCAAGACAGTGGTATAAGAGATTCGACGGCTTTATGATTGGCCGAGGGTACACGAGGAGCCCATATGACCCATGTGTTTATATGCACAAGCTACAGGATGGTGAGCTCATATATTTGCTTTTATATGTTGATGATATGCTTATTGCTTCCAGGAATTCTTCGGCTATTCGAAAGCTGAAAAAGGAGTTATCATCCGAGTTTGAGATGAAGGATCTTGGAGAGGCAAAGAAGATATTGGGTATGGAGATCGAGAGAGACAGGGTGAGAGGGAGTTTGAAGCTTACACAGAAGAGCTACTTGCAGAAGATGTTGAAGAAATTCAGCTTTGATGGCAATGCAAAAGCAGTTAGCACACCATTGGCTCCCCACTTCAAGCTTTCAGCGTTGATGTCACCTGTTTCAGTTGAGGACAGAGATTATATGTCGAAGGTCCCATATGCTAGTGCAGTAGGTAGCTTGATGTATGCGATGGTGTGTACGAGGCCAGATTTGTCACAGGCCGTGAGCATGGTATCGAGATACATGCATGACCCCGGGAAGGGTCACTGGGAGGCCGTGAAGTGGATTCTACGGTATGTTCGAGGCACCGTGG